CGGGTCAGGTTTGAGAGCCCCTATTGCATCAGAATCCAGATTGTATCTGCCCCTCAATCAAACATCCTCTCTCGCAGGCTCGCTCGCCGACACGCCGAGAGGGACTTACTTATGTAAATTTGATCAAACATCCGATCATCATCCTCATCTTTCAACAAGTATGAGTATTGTCAGTAAAAGTGTATCTCTCTATTTTAGCCATCTCGTATGCAACTCAGAGATGGCTCCAAGTAACAATTGCCAAGTTGTCACAGCCTGCGCTGGCTCCGCAACCTGCTTATAGCTGCTTATGTAAAACCCCTTTGCGGTTTTGTGGGGCTGAAAATATTTTGTAAAAACTTCAGACTCATCTTTGACCTTTCTAATGCCAAACTGAATCATATCGCATCTCATAGGAGTTTTAGAGCTCTTGGTATGCCGCTAATCTTCACTGAAGGAATTTAGTTTAGATCCTTCTAGACTTGCTGCGCTGCAGTACTCAATCAATCAAACACAAAAAAAAAAGAGTTTGACCAATTTTCTTGATTTGGAATTGAGAAAAGGGTTATGATTCTGAACAAATCCCCTTCCGTTGCTGTTCATAATCATATAGATTTACGGTACTCAAAGCAAGTACATATGTAGGCGTACATAGTTTGCGCTACATATGTACTTTTTTTGGCGGGGAAAAGAACAAAAATATACTTTTGGTCTCGTTTTTACGGAAGCCGTGACGTGAAGTGACCGCCACCGTTTTTTCAAAACTTCGGTTTTCGGTTTTCGGTTTTTGGAATTTGGGCATGTCCTTCAATTTTTGATACACACCACGGGCTACCATCACCGAGAACACCAACTGACACCATCACCACCACCAAGGGTTTATTCCACACTTGTATTTTCACTCAGCACCCACCACCGAGCATTTTTTCCACATCTGTCTTTTCACCACCAGCTAGCTATGTACGAACATCACCACCCACCACCGAGCTATCTTTTCACACTTGTCTTTTCACCAATCTAGCTATCACCACCACCACCCAGCTTGAGTATCTTTTATCAAAGTCCAGACTTGTTTCAATTATCACTCACTCAATCAACTTGGTATCATTTACAGTCAATAAACTTGTAATCAACTTGGTATCATTCACAGTCAATAAACTTGTAATCAACTTGGTATCATTTACAGTCACAAATCACCTTACCCCTCAATAAATCAACAACCTTTCTGATCAAAGAAACTGTTGGTTTTCCAAATAGGTTGAATTTTGAGGAGGTGATTGTCAAGATCAACCTCAATTGTTTGAGAACTCAGAATAATCAAAAATACTTGGCATACATTTTTTAAAACAGCCTCATGATTGAAATGTCGTAAGTTGTGTAAAACAATCAATAAGTAAGTGATACAAACTCTGTGAAATGATCAGGTTCCAGATTGTAATCACCATGATTTGTGATTATACTCTTTGCAATTCGAAGATACTTATGTAAATTTTTTGTTCAGATGAGGGCCAGCCAATTCAGCATTTTGATGTGTAGTTAGTGTAAGAATTAATGGATCGATAAGAAGTTAAAGAAGAAACTTCAAAGGTGAACACAATGAGTGTTGAGATAAGAGCTTTCAGAGTTAGTTGTGATGTGTAGTAGGATCGAGTGGATCAATTTTTTGTTGAGATAAGAGCAAGCCGATGGAGCTTTTTGATGCAATGGGTAGTTTAAACATGAGTGGTTCGATATGAAGTTGACGAAGAAATTTAAAAGGTTAACACAACAGGTGTTGAGATAAGAGCTCGCCAATTCGACTGTGATGTGTAGTAGGATCTATTAGTTTAATTTGAACTACAATACTTTGGTATTGATTGATACGATTGAAGTTGATAAGATTTGAGATGTGGTTTGATTGAGTCAAAGTCTGGATATTTGAAGGCACAAGAGTTGAATCGGTCGAGCAGTTTGACCGACTCACTGTAAATTGAGAGGGAGGCATGGTTGCTTTTCAAAAAAATTGAAGGAAATGCCCAAATTCCAAAAACCAAAAACCGAAAACCGAAGTTTTGAAAAAACGGTGGCGGTCACTTCACGTCACGGCTTCCGTACGTTTTCCCTGCCAAAAAAAAGTATGTAGCAAAAAGTATGTACGCGTACATACTTGCTTCGAGTACCGTAATTTTCAATGGAGCTCCTCACATAAAAATCAAATCCTAGAACAGGAGCAAATTAAAATGATTTGTTACAGTCGATTGCAGAAAGCTTGGAAACTTTTGCCCGCCAAACTTGAGCAAATTGGCGTGGAATTCTTTCCAAGCTTTGTGAAATTGACTGTACATACAATCATTTTACAAAATCTTGTTGACCAAACTTGCCCGCAAGACTCCAGCAAATTGGCGGAGAATTTGTGACAAGCTTTTCTGACATGAATGTAAGATAATGATCTTCATATGATGATTTGAAGGATTTCCTTTTGAAAAAGAAAAAGTCAAAGTCAGTTTGTTTTTCTTTTGCACAGCGCACATTTTTCTATATTCTCACAAATCAAAACAAAAGGCAAAACCATTCAAAAGACGCATGTCTTCGTTATACTTAAACTTGGGCTGTGTCTTGCAGTGCATGATGCATATACCAAAGCCGATTGAACATTCACCACTTGTCAAAAAAATCGAAAAACTTTCAATTTGAGTTAATCAAGAGTCAGGGGGTAGGATCATCATTAAAGTCATGACAAGAAATGAATCGTTTCCCGTGAGACTTTTTGGCTGATGTCGAAGTTGAAGATACATGGACTAGGAGCGAGCTTCTAGAAAGGAGAATAGGTTGCACGTGCTAAAGATGTAACGTAGCCCCGACGATCGCGTCGCGTAAAATTACACTGCTGTGCTCTTGACCATCTCCGACTATAGATCACCTCTTTACCTTGACTTTGAAGATGCTCTTTACCCTCGAGATGATCATATATAAACACGTGGATGATTCATGAATTCCGGTTCTTCCCACTTTTATATTCTTCCTCAAAGACATTATTGATATCTTCCTAAAAAGTATCCTCTTATATTTTCGAGATCATTTACTCTCATAGGTTTATACATTGATCTCTATAATTTTTTCGATCCCACCCACCTCTCCCGTTTTTACCTACTTTTTAGACCACCCCATAGCACCCCATAGCGGACCTATTTGATGCTTATGAGTCTTGCACTGTATATAAACTATCCTCCATAGTCCTTGATTTCATTGCAATTAGGGCTCTACGCCCCGATTCAAGCTAAAAACACCTATCGTGAGTTTTAGCTGGTAATCAACACAAAAACCTATTCTTACGTAATAATCTGTCGAAGAAGTCTCAGCAAGAATTCACATCTTGTAAACGTAGACTACTCTTGAATTTCTGATAAAGAAGCTTATCAACTTATCAACTTCAACTGAAGTTGGTTTATCACTTCAAATGCCATGGAGATATATGCATTTCGATGGTTTATCAGATTACGTGATACAAAGGTTGGCTTGAATATCTGTTGAAATATGCCGTCTGATGGGGTTCATGTTCTGTGATGCCCTATAGGCTA